CAATCAGGTGTCTTTGAAATGTTGCAATGCCTTACATTTCTATATTCCTTTCCGGGTTCGTGGGACGATCATGTTGCAATGTGCGCGTATGACGTGGCAACAACGTTTGCGTAGTTGCACACGCGTGCTCGCTGTCGCTGGCGATGGCGAGGTGGATGAAATCGTTAACTTGCGCAGCGCTTGATGATGATAAAAAATCTGATAAGATAATGCACAAGTTGATGAGCAACGTTGCGTTGAAAAGGATACATGATGACGTGTGAGGGGTGCGCCGACATGGGCGTGGCGGTATACGCGCGCAACCACGGTTCAGGCTACGGGGCCACGACGAAGCGTGCGAGGAGTGGCGACGACGACGACGACGAACCGTGCAGGCAGGCAAGACGATACCTTCGATACCACTAAGACCAGCCCAGTCATTGATGAGAAGATTGCTATATTGCCTGGCATCAGCCTGGTTGAATCGCTGGCCAAGTACAGTCCGCTTTTTGTGCAGATGCGCATTGGTACTCTGCATCGGTTGTTGCCCCCGCCCATGGCCCTTGGCACTCCGGGCCGCGCTGACTTCGACAGCAGCGCGAGCTTCATTGATAACTGGGCGGGCTGCTTGCGGTTGACTGGCCCACTGGGCCATTGCCCAAACTTGTTCTGCAATGGCCAGCGTTTTGTTCTTGTCACAGCAGTCGCTGATTGCTCACGTGGATGAAATGACTGCGCCGCAGAGGGCCTGGAGAGCATGTCTTTCTTGACTTCGAAGAATTAGCAGGTGGCGCATGGGTGGCTCCTGCAATGCCCACTGCACATGCAACAGGCCACTCCGCAACACAGGCTCGTCGATTCAAGGCTCATTGAATTGATGGTTCGCGTCGTTTCGCCATCCAGTTGGTAAGCGCGCGTCGACTGAATGCCCACGTGCATAATGCGCGCCGACTCAATGCTCTTCGACATGGCATGCGCCGACCCGGCGCCCATAAATTCGGCCCGCGCCGACGCGGCGCATGCAAGTCTGGACCCCGTTGGCTCGACGCACATTGGCGTTGCGCGCGCCGACCCGACGCCCACGGTCTGCGCCAGCTCGGCGTTCATCGCCATGGATTGCGACGTCTCGACGTTCATTGGCGTCGCAAGAGCCGACTCGACACTCATCGGTATGTAATCTAAACAGCGGTCGCGAGGATTGCCTCAATTGCGCGTCGTGGCTCGTTTGGAACGCGCCATCGATAAGGGCGGGGCATATAGCCCCCCCACTATCAGGGGCGATTCCGCATTCATCCTGACCACGGCCAGCCGCTAGGCTTCCCCAGCGCGTCGCCCGCGACGCCAGGTTGCCCTTGCGCGTCGCCCGCGTGGCCAAATGGCCCCAGCGCGTTTGCCCCGCTATGTGAGGCACTTGCGAGCGTCGGCGCATCGATGGTTAACAATGTAGGAACGGCACTTTCATCGCCAGTTTCTCAGACCACCCAATCGCATCGGCGAAAGATGACCGCTCGCGCGTCAAAGCGCGGCCGCCCGCGAACCTTCCGACCTCAGACGAAGCGTCCGAGACTATGGCCTCGCTATTCGCTGCGAGCCTTTCGAGGGCGCGCATGCTGGCAAGATGTGTATGCACAGGTGCAGTGCGCAAGCGGGCGCTGCTGCGCTGGTTTGCGGTAGCTCACCGTTTCGGCTGACTTTCATTGGGGTGAGGGTTGATTTTCCTTGTTGCCAAAATCCCACCGTCCTTCCGAAAGCGGCCAGAAAAACCGGCGGGTGTTGAACCTGCGTCCGCCCGTGGCTTACCAGGACGCCCCGACAGGAGGAAGAAAGTAAACATCAAAATGCTTGCAATCGCACCTCACGGCAGGCCAGCGACGGCGATGGCTACGACGACGTCGCTGGTTTCCCCATCCCACCATTCGAATATGTGTATCTATTCCTTTTTCCGATATTTTTACAAGACCGGGGGGGGGGGGGGGAACGCCCCACCCCCCCCAAACAACAAAAACAGGATCCCCGGGATCTGGGGTTCTCAAGCTCCCCTGGGCGTCCTTGGAAAAGGTCACCCGGCTTTCCGGGGGCTCCACAAACGCCTTGTCAGCAGACCCAGAGCGATCAGAGGGGTCATCCAAAAAGCTCAAGAGAGGCCCCAGACGGCACAAGAGCGCTCTAAGAGGGACCCCACTTGCTTCCGGACGGCCCAAGAGACCCCCTAAGGCACCCCAGAAAACTTTCCAAGGGGCCTTCAAAACACAAAAATCGTCCCACTCCCTTCGTAAAAATTATAAGTTTAGCATACTCGCTTTTCGGATTTCATCAGCTGTCAAGACGGCTTCAAAGGCCCCGAGATCGTCCCAAAACGCCCCAAAAGGCCCCCAAGAATGCTTCAAGACGGCCGAGCCGGGCCCCACGATCGCCCACGAGAGCCCCAAGACAGCCCATAATGGACCCAAGAGGCCACCCAAGGCTTCCAGCACAGACTAAAAAGAGCCATGGGAGGTCCCCGAAAGTGCCCAAGATGGGTCCACATGGGGCTCCAGCGGGCCCAAGCTCCCCAAGACGGCCCAAGAAGGCCCCAGGACGGCCCATGAAGGCGCCAAAACAGCCCACGAGGGCCCCGAAAGCACCCCCACGATGTTTCCGAATGCCAACATTCATTGATTTTGTTCCCATGACATTCCACATTGTGACCCAGTCGTTGATGGTCTCGTGGCATGCAGCGAAGATGGCCGAGGATGCCCCAAACAACTTTCACGAGATGCTCGTGAGGCCTCCATGGGTCCCAGAAGCCCCTGAGGGGCAATCGACTCCTACGCGCGCATGCCCTTGGATTGGCAATGCTTGGAATTATGATGCATGGCTTCACATTGCGCTGCTTTGTTTGGCACTCACTCGCATGGCTTCCCATTACTTTGCATTGCGCACCTCGGCGGCCCAGGCCACCAGCGGGCGTCATCGTCGTCGTCGTCGTCGTTGTCGTCGTCGTCGTCGTCGTCCTCGTGGCCGGGAGGGGCGCCCCGGGAGGGCGCCAGCCGTCCACACGTCGTCGTCGTCGTCGTCGTCGTCGTCGTCGTCGTCGTCGTCGTTCGTTGTCGCAATGGTCGTCGTTATCGTCGTCGTCCCCGTTTCGGCCAGCCCGCCGGCTGCCCTGCACCATGGTGGTTAGCCTTTTTTTCCAGAGAAGGGAGGCGGAGGCGAAAGGGGAGGGCGCGACGACCAGAATGCCGATTCATTCATCTGTCCGACCTGCCTGGGGCCCCCTGGAGCGGGAAAATGGGCGATACGAATTATCACATACAACGTATCATCGCCAGGGGTGCGAAGCGGCGGAGGAGAAAGGGCAGAGGAAGAGAAATGTGATTGCGTCCGCATGTCCAGAGATCAGGCCCAGGGCAAGTGGCCCGACACCGATCACCACAGAAGTGCACCGTAGTATTGAAAAAACCTTGCCGACATGCCGACGACGTGACTGACGCGCGCGGGCTGGCCCCAAAGAGCTGCGTTGCTCTGTGATAAATTTAGCTGGGAAGTATGATGGCTGACGGGGACTACGGCTACGGATCGTCGACGACCCGAGCAAGGCCGCGGACACACCAGAGGCGGAGAGGACAACGAGGGAGAGGAGGACGACGAGGAGGGGGTGGAGTGGATCAAACAGGCGGGGGTTCACATCTGGAAAGGCCAGGAGCTCGCCGACACCATGGTGGTTAGCCTACTTTCGCCTGCGACTTCTCGCAACTCTGGATTTCGGGATGCCCTGAGCTGAGGTGTTCAGACAACTCTTCGCTTGAGACTTCCTCGCAAGGTTGACTTCGGAGATGCCACGCCCCATAGTGCTCGGGCCAGGTGCGCCGAAGACATCATCACAACTCTGACCTCGGAAGTGCCCTGCCCCAAGGTTGTCCGGCCACTTCCGCATGCAACACCCTCGCACCTCTGCGTCCGGGCATGTCCTAACCTGCGGTGTTCCGGTCACTTTCGCCAGAGCCATCCTCGCAACTTTCGGTTCCGAGGTGCCCTGAGATGAGGAAATCAGACCACTGTGGCCTGAGACGTCCTCGGAACTCTGACCTCGGACAAGAGTTGCCTCAAGGTGGTCCAGCCACTTCCGCTTTGAGACTTTCTCGCAGCTCTACGTTCCAGGGCTCCTTGAGCTGAGGTGTTCGGGCCACTTTCGCTAGAAACGTTCTCGCAGCTCTGGGTTCCGAGATGCCCTGCCCCATGGTATTCTGCCGCTTTCGCTTGAGACATCCTCGCGACACTGAGTTCCGGTCTGTCCTGAGCTGAGGTGTTCAAGCCATTTTCTCTTGAGACATCCTCGCACACTGACCTCGGCGATGCTTTGTCCCATGGTAATCTGGCCATTTTCGCCTGAGACCCTCGCACCTTTCAGTTGCGAGATGCACTGAGCAACTGGTCAGGCCACTACCGCCTGAGATACGCATGTGTATGCGAACCCATCGATATATACATAGACATATATGTGTATACATATTGGCGTGCACCGACAAAGCACGTACGAGTTACATATGCATGTTCATACCCTTACACACATTCATTTGTATGTACACATGTACGCTGTATACACATACAACAATGTAAGCATAGTGTATACACCTGGACCTACATATATATATATATATATATATATATATATACGGAACGTGCATGCGCGTGCGCGTGTATACATGCATGCGCGCATGTACGCACGCGCGCATTCCGCTTGCGTGTGGAACTCAAAAGGCCAAGGTGCATGGCGCGCAGCGCCAATGCAGTCTTGCATACATCTTTAGGTATATATGCATATATGTATATTACAGAGAGTGCGGACCCACTTCCGCTGCAAAGCTATCAGGGGCAGCAGCAAAAAGGGGGGACGAAGGATGGTGGAGAGGGAAGGGACCAACCTGGACTCACGACCCCCCGAATCCAGACGGAGTTACCGTCAAAAACAAACATGCGCCAAAAAACGAGGAGTAAGCACACAATGGTTGGTGGTGGTTTCGCTTTCCTTTCCTCCAGGCCTGCGGGGCCAGTGCGCATCTTCACGACCTCGAGGAAGCAAAAGAGAGGGCAAAAACATACATCCGCACGGGCTTCATGGATCAGCGCCCGCCGGGAACCCGCGCAAGCCCGCGGAAGCGCGCCAGGGGCAGCGCTGAAGGCGACGCCAGGCCGCCATCGGGGGGGCAAATCGCCAATCCGAGAAACCCGCGCTGACCTCCGCACTCCTCCTCCTCCTCCTCCTCCTCCTCCTCATCCTCCTCCTCCCCCTCCTCCTCCTCCTCCTCCTCTGCGTCAATTGTCCGGGGAGGCGAAGGATGACCGATGCCGCGGCTCCACGGACCTCTCCCGGGCTGCGCTCCGAGCAAGCTCTCGAGGAGAATCAGGTCGTGGCCACGGGGGTCTCCCAGGGATGCCCTCCCCCCAAAAAAAACTAATCAGATGGAAGTGTGACGGGAACGACGTCAAGAATCAAATCGTGGCCACGGGGGCCTCCCAGGGATGCCCTCCCCCCTCAGAAAAACGAATCGGATGGAAGTGTGACGGGAACGACGTCATGAAAGAGTTGGTGCAGAATGCGGCTCAGGATTCCCAGCAGAAAGCCGAAGGCAAATCTTGGAAATCCTCGAACCTAGCATCCTCACGCCCTCTTTCTCCTCCGAGGAAGAGTAGCGGCGTCGGTACCCAGACATGCGACGTCCTGATGTTCTCAATGCGCGGTCCCCGGGAGACCCGACCCATTCCCTGGGGCCTGCGTTTTGACAAGGAATTCGGCGCTACCCCACACCCCTCTCCCTGTCGCGAGGAACGTGCCAAGGGCGGCATCAGAGGCGCCGCAAAGGGACTCCAGTGCCGATCCGAGAAATCCGCGCGGACGTTTGAGTTGTTATGTTTATGCCAATATTTGTATCCAGATTTCCAACTGTGAGCCTGTACTACGGGCAAGACGTGTGTCCAGATCCGCTGCAGCTTGGAGTTTCGGGCCCCCTCCCCTGTGACCCCGAGGCTCACTTGATAGGAATAAGAATCAGGCCCCTAGAGCTCGGCCCTTACCCATATCCAGTGCACGTCGGCCTTGCAGCGTCCCTCGTAAGAAAGTCCGCAGCGCACTGGGCGTGGACATGAATATTGTCCGCGCCTGGGCATCGAGAGGGTTGCTCTGGAGGCCGTGGTGGCCTCCTTGGGAATCTTGGGGGGCGTCTCGGGCTGGGGGCACTTCTAGTCCGACCAGCCATGAATGGGGGAGCTGTGGTCCTTACCCCCCTTGGGGAACCCATCGCATCGACGATCCCTCGACAGGGGTGTCGAAATCGATGGGTCCCCCAGGGGGGTAAGGACCACAGCTCCCCCAATTGTGGCTGGCCTGCTAGCAACACCCGAGAGAGGCCCGAGGGGGGGGTCAGGGCGCTAGGCTCCGCACCCCCGCCGCCGTGATCTTCCAACAACGTCGATCCCCAGAGGTCTCGGCCGCTTCCCCAGGAGGAAGAGGAGGAGGAGGAGGAGGAGGAGGAGAAGGAGGAGGAGGAGGAGGAGAGGGGAAGGAGGAGGAGGAGGAGGAGGGGAGGGGGGAGGAGGAGGAGGGGAGGAGGAGGAGGAGGAGGAGGAGGAGGAGGAGGAGGAGGAGGAGGAGGAGGAGCCATTCCTTCACGGTCTGGAGGCCCTGTGAGGGCCCCCAGAAGGCCGAGACGAGCGACAAAAACATCCCGTCGCGATGTTTGTCACAAGGCGAGGGGGCCTGGGACTCTGGATATGGCTCTGAACCTTGCCCGCATCTTCTAGGGGGAAACCAAAAGGTACACCAAACCGCTACTTCCCAGACCCCTCCCGGGGCGCGCTCTGGCCCGAACTTCGAAGCGAATCCAGTTGAAGCGACGAGGGCCACCCAGGAGGCGCAGAAAGGGGACAACAGGCGAAGGGTAGAGGTAGGGGTACCCTCCCAGAGATCCGACGTCGTGATCTCTTCAATACACGTTCCCCAGAAGCCTCCACCCATTCCCCAGGACCAGATGTTCATCATGTCCCGTTGTTTAACGGTCCCGAGGGCCGGTAAGGGCCTCCTGAGGCCGACAATTAAACAAACAAACCTCCCGTCCTACCTTTTTCCTCATTGCCCGAGGGGGTATGGGTTGCCTCCTCCTCCTCCGCCTCCTCCTCCTCCGCCTCCTCATCCTCCTCCTCCTCCTCCTCCTCCTCCTCTCCTCCTCCTCCTCCTCCCTCCTCCCCTCCCCCTCCTCCTCCTCCTCCCCTCCCCCTCCCTCCTCCCCTCCCCCTCCCCCTCCTCCCTCCCTCCTCTCCTCCTCCTCCTCCTCCTCCTCCTCCTCCTCCTCCTCCTCCTCCTCTGCTTCCCCCCCTGCCTCCCCCTCCGTGACCTTGTGGGTCCCCGCCCCGGGCTCCGCGAGCCCGCCGCGCGCCCGCCTCGCCGCGCCCCGCCGGCTCGGCGGGCTCGCCGCTCCGCCCCGTGCCTGCGCGCGCCCCGCGCCGCACGACGACGACGACGACGACGACGACGACGCCGACGACGACGCCGCCGACGACGCAGACGACGACGACGACGACGACGGCGCCGCCGACGACGACGACGACGACGACGAAGACGACGCCGACGACGCCGACGAAGACGACTACGAAGACGACGCCGACGACGCCGACGAAGACGACTACGCCGACGACGACGCCGACGACGACGACGAAGACGTCCGCGTGCCCGGGCCGGCGCGGAGGCGCCGAGGGGCGCTGGCAGCTTGCGGTGCGCCTGCGGGGCGGGGCGCCGCAATCCTCCCAAAGAGCCAAGTGGTGACGAAGGTTTTTCGCAGCCTTCGGCCTCTGGAGGCCTTCACCGAGCCTCGGGGCCGTCGAAAAACGACTCCAGATGAAAAACCGGTGCTGGGGAAGGGGTCGAAACTTCCAGTGGCCAAATACAAGAATCAAACTTAGCGACAAAAATGCTAGGAACATCGTCCGCAGACTATTTTTGTAGACTAGGCTTGGATGCTCCTCCTGTAGAGGGGCATGCCTGACTTACCCCTATCGTTGCCCCTGCCCACCTTCGGTGGCAACGCATGTGTGCTAAATCGACGCTCATTGACGCGAGCCGACGCTGAAAGGGCGCTCCCCCATCGACTCCCAGCGGCTATTCGACGCTAGTCGACGCTTAAGAAATGCTTTAGAGGGTACACGAAGCTCGAGTCGACGATGGACAGACCCCCCTTTAGCAAAACGTGGTTTAGTGAAAACGACCTGATGCCCAAACCGGGCGGGCGCAAGCCTGGAAAATAGCGGCCACGGCGCCCTCTCGAGAACCGAAAACGGACAATTCACTAATCGACGTGTCACTGTTGGGGGTTCTGTCCACCCCCGACAAAAACAAGACAGGAAGTGCTTATCGTTTGCGGCCTCCGGGGGGACCCTCGCCAGGGCCCCAGGGCCGTCGAAAAAACGACGCGAGGCGAAACACTGGCCACGGGAATGGGTCACGGCCCCCTGGGGCCACACAATGAAAAGATCAGGACGTCGCACGTCTGGGTCGCCATCTGCTCGCACCCGGCGTGTACTGGTTCCCCGGAAAGATTGGGTTTGGGGGTCTCTGGTCCCTTCCTTACGATGTTGTACGATGTTCCACGATTGTTGTTGTTTTTGTTGTTGTTGTTGTTGAAATTTTTGCTGCAGCGTCAGATCTCCAGGGGAGGCCGCTTTTTGCAGATTATGGGAAGCTCACTTGCCTGTGGGGGGGGGGAATTCGAAAGGAATTCTGGACTGCACGCAAGCCGGGACTCCCTTGCACGCCTTTTCGGCTCAGCGTTCTTGGGAAAGGTCGGGGAAGGGTGGAAGGGGGAAATGCCACGCAAGTAAACACAGACCTGGGTCTTCAGAAAACGAAACCCTTACTACTGCCGCGGAGGAAGAAGGTCTGGAGCTCCGGTCGCGCTTCTTTCACGACGAATGTGTTTCGTTGTTGTAGGTTTGAAGGGCGGCGTCAGATCTCAGAGGGGCCTGCGAAGCGGGGCGGCCAGGCAGAGCCGCCGGCCGCGCGCGCGCCTGCAAGGCCGAGCGGCCGTGCGGCGATGCTGGCGCGGTGCTCCTCACCGAGGCCACCCTCGCGCCAGGATCGGTCAGCGTCCTGCCGGAGCGGGGATCTATCCATATCCACCACCGCCTGGGGAAGAGGACGTCTTGGAACCCTCACGGGCGGTGGACGTGGATCTCTTGTGGCCCCTGAAGGCTGACCCCGCAGTTGCGGATAAGAGTGACAATGAGGGGGCGGGCGCGGGGTGGGCTGCGGGTGAGTCACGGGCAGGCCCCGGGTGGGTCGCGGGGGGGCTCGAAAGTGGGTCGCGGGTGTGTCACGGTTGGGTCGCCGGTGGGTCGCGGGTGGGTCGCGGGTGTGTCGCGGGTGTGTCGCGGGTGTGTCGCGGGCGGGTCGCGGGTAGGTCGCGGGCCGGGTCGGGAGTGGGACGACGACAACAACAACGACAACAACAACAATCATTTTACACTGCTCGCTGTTACCAACTGGCGTGCAATTCAAGACGTCTATCCCAGACTCTCGTTATCCACCCTCGATCGTAACCCCCTTGGGGGTATATCTTCCTCACCTCCTGCGTATAAATGGCGCAGCTCCTAAAAAAGAGAAAGGGGGTACGGATGGAAGGGGGAGGGAGAAGGATGAAGCACGAGAGAGATCATCGGCACGAGGGGGATGCAGAAAGCATGTGGCAGAACCAAATAGGCTGATCAAGCGGGTAGACTCTAGCGGGCGGGTCGGGAAGGCGGGCCAAGGCGGCCAGGTCGAGCAGGCGGCCTGCTGAAGCGTGAGTCATGCATGAATCGCAAGGTCTCGAGCGCTGGCGCGATTCCCAAATAAACCATGATAAAAACCAAAGCGAGAGCGCGATTCCTGAGTATCGAAGGCGCGGCGCCTGAATGACTTGCGAAGAAGTCCCACGCGATAGTACGATTCCTTCACACATTGTGAGGAAGTCCTGCGCGAGAACACGATGTTGGAATACTTTGTCAGGAAGTCTCGGGCGGAAGCCGCTGTTGTTGTAAGCTGACGGCCAACAAACCAATCCGAGGAATAATGCTTTCTCTTGCCACAAAACATGGAGCGGGCCCCGGGAGGAACACTTTATGTACCAATAAAACGTGCACAGGGCAGGGTGGATAAACAAAACATTTTCTTCAAAACTGGAAATACAACAACAACAACAACAACAACAATTACTAGCACGTGGGGACACTCCGTTCTCACCAGTGCCAGGGTTTTCATACGACGCCCGCCAATACCCCCACTTTGTGGGGGGGCCGGTTCAAGCTCTACCACATTTCCAAACGACTCTTCGCCACCACCCACACCCAGCTTCCCGCCCTATGACGTTCGGACACTTCACTTCGTGGCCTGCGGACGACCGTGGCTACTACACTGGCGCATGGGACTGCCATGCGCCGTGGGAGAAATTTTGAAAATTCGTACAGATGTTTTTCGAAGACCTACGGTGCGATTCGTATGATTTTATGTTGCGCGGTGCTAAAATTCTTAAGAAACCCAATGGTGTTTGAAGATTTCGGCGTGCGCGCGCGAAGAAAAAACGAATGTGTCCCATATGGTATTATTTGACAGGGATGATGGCCCTGGCAGGCGCGCAACCGTTGTTGCAGAAGTTCGAAGCACGTGAAAAAGTTGCTCGCAAGAGCCCGTTTGACAGAAATGTTGAAAAAGTATTGGGTTTCCTAAGAAATCCGCAAGAGCGCGCGGGATGAATTTTTGAAACTTTGTTTTTGAAAAACCATTGGGTTTTTCATGTTTTTATGTTAAAATCGCTACGAAAACTAAGGTTTTGGAAGGATTTCATCTTGCGCGCGCGAGTGTGCACTTCGTGTCATTTTTTGCAAAGGATTCTTGAAGTTTGGCTATGTTAGAACAAGACATGTCATTTTATATTGTTTTTTGACAGGGAAAGCGGGCGTCAACAAAACAACCGGATCCGGACTCCCCCGTTTTGCCTGAGACTTCCTCACGAAAATGATGAAAATGTGGCTGCGGCCTGGGCGCGGCGAGGGGGGCGTGCACCAGGGGGCCCAACAATAATTATTCTTTAGAAGTAATAATATTCAACAACAACAACAACACCGGTAACAACAACAACAGCACCAACAACAACACTCAGCAACGACAGCAACGACAGCAGCAACACTCAGTTAAATTATGTTCACTCTCATCTGCTCGCGTTACGTTGAACTCGTATCCCCCAAACCCTTGATACCCGCTCTTCGTCTTTTGTGTACGTATCTTTGTTACATGCCAGGTGTATTTCGCGCGCCCCGAGTGCAGCTCAAGAGAGGACGGATGGAACAGGAGCAGGATTGAGCACAAGAGAGCGTGAGAGGGGGGCTACACGCAGAGAGCACCTGGCAGAACCAGACGGGCAGATCGGGCAATACAAACGAGCGGGTCGGGAGGCGGGTCCAGGTGGCCAGGTCGAGAAGGCAGGAGGCTGAAGCGTGCGTGCTGAATAATCGCAAGGAGTCTCGAGCGATAGCGCGATTCCCAAGCAAACAGTGGGAAATCCACAGCGAGAGCGTGATTTCTGAGTGTCGAGGGCGCGGCGTCTGAATGCAGTGCAAGAAATCAGGGCATCCTACGCGATAGCGCGATTTCTGCATAAATCATGAGGAAGTTTCGCGCGAGAGCGAGATTGTATATAACTTGTGGAATGGTATCAGGCAGGCGCCGTTGGTGTAACTCGGGGACCAGGTGCGCAGTTTGGTGACCCCTTGTAAAAAGAGGTGCAAGACCTGAGAGAAACACTTTCATTGAAAACATCTGGTTGTCGCAAGGGGGGGTCAGCAGTAACTTTTCGTTCGAATTCAGAAACCAAATACGACAGCAACAACAACAACAACAGTGACAGCAACAACAATAACAACACCAACTCTGCTCGCGTGCCATTCAACACGTAGATCCCAAACCCTCGATGTCCGCCCTCTTCGTCTTCGATCGCACCCCCCTTGGGGTAGATCGTGCATCAGGTATATCGTCCATCGTATTCGGTACCTACAACGTGTCCTTCGTGCAGCCCTTCAGGCAGGAAAAGCGAGGACGGGTAGAAGAGAGGGACAATGGGGAGGGAAGAGGATGGAGTACGAGAGAGAGTGGCAGGAAAGGGGGCCAGGAACAGAGAAAACACGTGGCAGAGCCAGACGGGCAGAGCGGGCGGGTGGACCCAACGAGCCGGTCGGGAAGGCGGGCCTGGGAGGCCAGATCGAGCAGGCGGGGGGCTGAAGCGTGCGCTCTGCATGAGTCGCGAGGAGGTCTCGAGCGACAGTGCGGTTCCCAAATAACTCGCCAGGAAATCCAAAGCGAAAGCACGATTCCTGAGTGTCGAGGGCGCGGCGTTTGAATGTTAAATGAGATGCGAGAAAAACCCATGCGAGAGCACGATTTCTGCATACATTGTGAGGTATCAGGCGGGAGCCGCTGTTGTTGTAAACTGGGGGCCCAAAACACAAGTCTGAGACTCAACGCTTCCCCTGCGAACGAAAAACAAGGTGCGAGCCCCAGGAAGGCAGCACCATGTGCCCCGAAGGGGGGGAGATCGACAACTGGTGTCCTTCAGCAGGGAAGCTCAACAGCAACAACAGCAGCAGCAACAACAGCGACGCAACAACCATCCGCACATCGGCACCCCGCTTCAGCTTCGCACCCAGGGGCACCGCATGACCGTTCTGACTACCTGCCAGACCACCCCAACCAAACCCGAAGACCCGAATTTCGGGTTGGGGGGGTACGGGTTCCACGCGTGTTTTCTCTATGTTTCCCGACCCCCCCCTACTAGAAATCGAGGGTAAATCTGAGCCTTCGGGTTGGGTTGGGGTGGTTTGGTGGGTGGTGGCGTTCCGCCCCGCGCTGTGATCTCCACATCCGCCGCCTGCAGGGGACAGCAGGAGGAGGAAGAAAGAAGAAGACCCACCACTGCGCGTGGTCTGTGCCGATCTCTGCCCGCGCGTGCACGCGTGCCTGCAGAGCACCACCTCGAACGATACTCGAACGCGTGCGACGAGGTTGTGAGTAGCGCGCACCGGAGGAGGAGGAGGACGAGGAGGAGGAGGAGGAGAAGGAGGAGAAGGAGGAGGAGGAGAGAAGGAGGGGAGAGAGGAGGGAGGAGGGAGGGAGGGAGGGAGGAAGAGGAAGAGGAAGAGGAAGAGGAAGAGGAGGAGAAAGAGGAGGAGGAGGAGGAGAAGGAGCAGGAGGAGGACCCCGAGGATCGACTCCGAGGGCGGTGGTTCTCGACGGAGCCCCGCCACGGCAGTCCTCGACATCGGCGCCCCGTGCGCCGCCCTAGCCTCGCTGAGGGAGCCCTCGATGGCGGCGAGCTTGGAGTCGATGTCGTCCATCTTCTGGGAGCGCCACGGCACCATCAGCGGCAGCTCGTCGAGGTCGTCCGAGTCCCCGGGGTGCGAGGAGAGACTAGTGCTGGCAGGGGAACAGGACATTGCTCAAGCCAAAAAATGGGACCCCTGGCCTAATACACGGTGTCCCCCGGGGCCGTAGGCGACCCGAGGAGGAGGATGAGGAGGATGAGGAGGAGGAGGAGGAGGAGGAGGAGGAGGAGGAGGAGGAGAAGGAGGAGGAGGAGGAGGAGGAGAAGGAGGAGGAGGAGGGGAGAGAGGATGAGAGGGATTTTTTTCCAGTGCGCTGCGCACACCCAGGAGAGGGAGGAAGAGGAGGAGGAGGAGGAGGAGGAGGAGGAGGAGGAGGAGGAGGAGGAGGAGTTTGAGGAGGAGGGGGATGGAGGAGTTTGAGGAGGATGAGGAGGAGGAAGAGGAGGAGGAGAATGAGGAGGATAATGGGTCGCCTAAGCCCTTCGGAGAAACCCTCCACCCTAGCCCTTTGGGAGGGGACGCAAGTTGGGGGGGGCAGAAGCATCAGGGGCAGGGGGACTTGTCTGCAGATGCATCGAGCCAAACCGCTCAGGACTGTTGTCCCTAATGCAAAGACGGGGACCTAAGTGAGGCCACGTCTTCACTATGTTGTTACGGTTAGTAGAGGCCTCCTAGATGGGGTCGGAGTCGAGCATCGCGATTCATCGGCGAGGCGGCGCGATCCTCCGACCCCATCTCCTCGGACCCCATCTGGGAGGCCTGGAGTCAGGGTTTCTTGGATACTCGACGAGACATGGCATACACAGGCACGATCTCACCAGCCTGAAACATATCCCTATCCCTATGCTGGGCATCGCCTCATCACGATGCCAATCTTGGGGATTCGCTTATTTTTTGAGGGCGCATCCCTGAGATTGGCATCGCCTTTTGGCGCGTCAATCTTAGGGATCCCCTTACTTTTTGAGGGTGCACCCCTGAGATTGTCATCGCCTCTTGGCGCGTCCATTTTAGGGATAGGGATACGTTCGAGGCTGGTGACGTTCGGCGGTCCGCGCAGACTGCTCGAGTCGGCGCCGGGCCCCGCCCTGCCCCTCGGCGCGCGGGGCGCGCCGAGGGCGGCAGCGAGAGCGCCGCCAACGAGGGGCTCCGGCGCTGGTCCGGGCCAGCCGTGCGGACCTCCAGAAATTGAGCAGGAGGAGGAGGAGGCGGAGGAGGAGGAGGAGGGGGGGGAGGAGGAGGAGGAGGAGGAGGAGGAGGAGGAGGAGGAGGAGGAGGAGGAGGAGGAGGAGGAGGAGGAGGAAGAGGAGGAGGATCCCTTGAGCAGGGACCGACCGTCCCGGCATTCCTATGGTACCACGAAGTGTTCTTCGAACCACAAAAGGTTCTAAGAACAAAAGCAGTGTTCTCAGAACAGAAGCCCGATGTTCTAAAACACGGCAGTCCAAGCCAGAAATGTTCTGAGAACATGTCGTGGAAACCACAAAAGGTTCTCAGAACAGTGTTTGGTAGGGCTATGGGCGAGCCAGGACGCTTCGCCACTGCTTGAAGACAAGGTATCGCCCCCTGACGCGTGACGTCCTGCATTTTTCACGGCGCGGGCCCCGGGAGTCCGGGTTTTCAGTCCGAACAATTGGCTGATGGTCCCGAGGCCCGGCGAGGGCTCCCGGAGGCTGAGGACCGTAAAAACCACTGCCGTGGTGAAATCTCTTCACGACGCGAGCATGTCTGGGCTTGCGCAATTTCTTGTTCCCCGAGCTGGACCGCTGCGACTGGTGCGAGGATCGGCGACTCCGAAGGGCAAGATTTGCAAATGTGTGGTCTGCCACCCGCACCCTGGGGGGCTGTCGAGGGCCTCGACAGAGTCCTGCATCGCATTCCGACGAGGCACGAAGAGGGCAACGCGGTACCCCCGAAAGCCCCACAGGCGCCAATCGCAAACCGCACCCCGGCGTAACCAAACTTGGCGGCGCGCACAAAGGCTAGGGGGAGGGGGGAAGGCTTCTCAAAAGGAGGCTGCTTCTTCAAGGGCGCGGGACCTCCATCTAGAGGTGAGGCCCGCGCCTTCTAAAAAAAAGCAAGGGTGTTTCTGAGAAGCCTTGCCCCGTCCCCCCCCCCAAAAAAAACGTGCGACAACCTGATGTGTTTCAATACGCGCTTCCCGAGATTCCCTTCCCGACCCATTTCCCGGGGCCGGTTTTTCCTCCTGACTCGTTCGTTGACGGTCCCGGGGCTGGGAGAGGGCGCCCGGAGACCGAACATAGCAAAAAACTTCCAGTCCTATTTTTCTTGCGCGTGGCTGAAATTCGGGAAACCATGTACCCATACCGCTACTCCCCAGGCCTCTCCCGGGGTGCGTTCTGACCAGGATTTCAAAGGGAATCCGGCGGTGGCGACGAGGGCTGCCCAGGAGGCCCAAAAAGAGAGAATCCAAGGGTAGAGGTAAGGGCACCTATTCCTCATCTGGGAGATACCCCTCGCTATCGCTCGGACGTCAATTCTTCACGTTCGCGTATCCCCACCAGCCCATACAGACGGGACTGGAAGCTTTCTCTCTCGAGGCCTCTTGGAGGCCATCGTGAACCACGTTCGGCTAGAGGCTGTCGAAGCCGATCCTGAGCCATGCTCTAGATTGGACCGTTTTGTGGCTGTCTTGAGGCCTCTTGGAGGTATGTCGGAGGCTATCATAAGCAATGCTCGACCTCCTGGGACCATCATGGGGGTAGGAGGACGAAGAGGAGAAGCAGGGGGAGGACGAGAGAGAGGAGGAGGGCGAGGAGGAGGAGGAATAAGAAGGGAATGATACGTACAGAAGGAGGAGGAGGAGGAAGAAGAGGAGGAAGAAGAGGAGGAGGAGGAGGAGGAGGAATGCGGTACGGAGGAGGAGGAGGAGGAAGAGGAGGAGGAGGAGGAAGAGGAGGAGGAGGAGGGAGGAGGGAGGAAAGGAAGAGAGAAGGAACGGACGGTGGCAAGGGGGATGAGAAATCAGGTTTACAGTGGTTTTGTTCTGAGAGATTCAAGCAGGACGACGAGAGCCATTTTGGTGGGCTCTCCTAGGGCCTCCTGTGGGGCCTCTTCGGACATTCTTGGGGTCCTCAAGGCGCTCATTTGGTGGGTCTTGGGGCCCTCTTGGGGGTCCTTGGAAGGGTCTGGGACGTCTCTCGGGGCCATCCTGGCCCCCATGGGTCAAAAAGAGGGGGGGTCAGGAACCCCCTGGGAGGCTCAACGCTGGCGTCGTAAGGCCCGCTCTTGGGGCGCTCTTAGGCGCCTTTGGGGCCCTCTTGGGGTCGCCTTGGGGCCCTCTTGGGCCCCTCTGGGGGCTCTCTTGGGACGTCGCTGGGCCACCGTAAGGCCTCAGGAGCCCATCGGAAGCGAAACAGCGAGAAGGTAAACAGCTTAGATTGACCTCTGGTTTTGGAATCATGTTGGCCTGTGGGTCTGGGGGGCACTTGTAGCCGTCTTGGGGCCGTCTTGAGGCCTCTTGGATGTTCGCCCGAGGCTGTCTTGAGCCATCTCGAGGCATCTTGAACCATCTTGGAAACCATCGTGGGGGTTCTGAAGCCCTCGTGGAGCCATCTTGGAGGCTCGAAGCCCTCGGCCCCCCCCCACCATCCCAGGCCCAGGGGAGGGGGTAAGGGGAGGGGTCAAGACTCCGCCTAGTTAGCACGCCGTCTAGCTCACTCCCACGCGCCCTCCCAACACATGTTCAGCGGTCGTCTTTGGATGGACAGCTACTGGGAACCATATCCGACCAAATGAGCGCGACGCTGGGGCAAGGCGTGCCACGCGTGGCAGGCCCTGGGGCCCGAGCGTGCCAGGGCACGCCTGGTGCGCCAGATGCGCCACGTGCTCCGCGTGCGCCAGGTGCGTCGCATACCCCAGCCGCGCTAAGTGCGCCACGTTCGGGGCACGCGCAGGGTGTGGCAGGTGCGCCTGCGCACTTGACAGCTCACATCGGGAAGCATGTCGGCCCCCACCATCAGTGCTGAACAGCAGTGCCCATCTTCGTGCCTGGTGGGCAGCAGGCCATACGCCACCACCCCCGCCGTTCCTGTCAAACCCCATTTGAGAGTGATCGCGGGGTGGCCGCGCGGTGCATGTTCTATAGTTTGTTGTAAAGGATGGTAGCCTTGCGTGCAGCAGGCAATATGCAGACAACCCCGCCGTCCCTGTCAAAAACAATCCAAATTGCTTGCGGGCCTCGCGAACATGACTCAAGACTCTTTGCCCAAAGTGTACTTTGTATTGTTTTTTTGACAGGGCTGGTTGGGGGAGCCGCATCGGGTTGGCCGCGCATGCTCCCAATATGGAGGCAGAATGCGTGTTGCATTGTTTCTTGAGAAGGATGATGGGGTGTGGCCCGCATGGTACCTGGTTGGCGCCGGTCGCCTGGGGGAGGGGGTGTATATGAGAAGGGAAAAGTGATCGAGGTCCCCCCTCGCCCGCAAGCCGTCTCGGTCACTCCCACCCGCCCTCCCAACACATAAGCAACACCCGAGGGAGTCTCAGCATCTTGTTTAGGAGCGCCACGCAGGCCACGTGCGACGCGGGTGCCGGGCGCACCCGGGAGCCTGGAGGCCCACGCGACCCGGGCGCGCCAGGTGCGGCACGTGCCCCACGATGAAGCAATGTGCCGACACCCCCGCCGCCCCTGTCAAATGTCCATGCCGCGGGGCGCCCGCGGATGCTCCAGATGTGGAGGCAACGTGCATTCTGTATCGCTTTCTGACAGGGGTGGTTGGCCTGCGCGCGCAGCGAGCAATATGGCGGCACCCCCATCGTTCCGGTCAAAAGCCATTGCAAACTGGTCGCGGGGCGCCCGCGCACGCTCCACGTGTAGAGGCAACGTGCGTTCGTTATTGCTTTTTGACAAAGATGGTCGGCATGCGAACAGCGAGCGATATGGCGGCACACCCGCTGTCCTGGTCAATGGCCAATCCAAAGTGGTCGCGGAGCGCCCGCGTACGCTTCAGATGCGAAGGCAAAGTAAATTCTGTATAGTCGTTGAAAGGGATGGTTGGCTTGCGAGAAACAAGCAACATGGTGACACCTCCGCCGTCCCTGTCAAACACCAACCAAAAATGGTCGCGGGGCGCCCGGCAATGCTCCAGATGTAGAGGCAACGTGCATTCTGAATTGTTTCTTGTCAGGGGTGGTTGGCCAGTGCGCAGCGAGCAATATGACGGCTCACTCGTTGCCTTAAAACAAAATG